CTTGGGCCATCTTCTGCTGCTTTCCCAGGCCATAGCAGAGAAGGATCAGAAGTGGAGCAGCTGGGACTAGAACCAGGCCTCATATGGGATGCTGGTGCCGCAGGCGGAGGATTAATGTATTTTAAAAATACATTTCAATTTATATCGTCCATCATGTATTTATTTTTTCATCTACTTTGTTTACTTATTCAACACGTAGGTATTGAACTTCTTCCATGTGCTAGACTCTATTCTGGTAACTAAAGATACACAGTGAACGAGGCAAAGACACTCACCATCCTACTCACATGGCACTTACTCTGTAGTCAACGGAGACAGATGATAAACACGAAAACATATAAATCAACAAGACTATGTTGTACAATGATAAGTGCTATAAATACAATGAGCCAGGGTAGCGTGATATGAATGCGCACATGGGGTGTCCCAAAACTGCTTGATAAGATTGTTGGGAGAAAACCTTTCTGAAAAAAGTCATATCTGAGGTCAGAGCTGATGAAGCCAAAGTGGTCAGCTATGTGAAAACCTTAGATACTAACGTCTCGAGCAGAAGTTTTTTTGATTTGACACATAATAAAAGACATCAAGAGAGCTTCAGGTATGAGAAACGCATTCTTCATTATTGTAGCCACTAGCCATATGAGGTGATTACAATTTAAACTAATTAAAATAAAATACAAGAACACAGTTCCTCAAGAGCCATTTGTGGTTAGTGGCCACCATGTTGGAGAGCTCAGGATACATCCCTGTTATTCAAGAAAATTCTAATGCATACTTTGTTGCCTTAGCGAAGCAGAATTGGAATAGGAGCAGAGGTCAGAGTGGTTTTGCAAGGTCAAGAAGGTCCTTTTTGTTGTTGTGAGCACTTCAAGTTATTTAAGGGCAGTGTGCAGAGTTTGAATAGTGTTAAGCATCAGGTATCATTCAGTTTATATTAAAAATTTTATTTTCACTTTTATTTGAAAGGCAGAGAGGGAGAAAGATTGATTTTCCATCCACTGTTTTACTTGCAAATGCCTACAATAGCAGGGACTGGGCCAGGCCAAAGCCAGAAGGCTGAAACCCAATCCAGGTCTTCCATGTGGGTGTCACAGATACAAGTACTTGAGCCATCACTGCTGCCTCCTAGGATATGAATTAGCAGGAAGCTGGAATGGAAAAAAAAGCTGGGACTTGAACTCATAGACCCCAACATAGAATATGGCCAACCCTAGCAGCATCTTAACTGTCAAATGTTTGCCCCCAATTTACATTTTTAAACTGTCAGTCTGCTGAACAGAGAATGACTTATAAGGAAGTCAAGACCAGTTAGCTTTTGCTTTGTCCTGGCCAGCAATGCTGAGACAGGTCTTTTTTTTTTTTTTAAGGATGGTGGAAAGTATAGGCATTTGGGATGTATTTTAGAGATAGAATCACATCAATCTGATAATAGATTGGAGGTAAGGCAAAACAAACAAAACAAAACAAAAAAACCAAAACAACAGCAAAAAAGGAAAAAACAGAAAAACAAGGGCCATGAGCTCTTTTGGCACCTAAACAACCAGAGATGATTGGTTGTTAATTAATTAATTAATTTTTTAATGTGGATGAGAGAAGAATGAAAAGAGAGCTTGGGTGTGTGGATTGTAGGGGTTAGAGGTATGGAATTAGAAAGTAAGAATCTTGTTTTGGATATATATTTTAGGTATCTGTTGGCAAAAAGCATAGAGGCCATGGAGGTATTGGAGAATGAGTGAACTCATACACTAGAGTGTAAACTTCATGGGTTTTATAATAGAATTCTCTTACCTTCATTTGATTAAGTAAAACTGACTTGGAATGGGGGTAGTTACCAGATTCCCCTCACGAAGAACTAATAAAAAAAGACATTAGCTGGATTTGACTATTGCAGAGCTTCATCAGGTCAAATTTAATTTTTTTTTTCCTCTTGTCCATGCTGCACTGTTTTTTTCTATATATAACCCTTTCTTTATTCGTTTCCTGTGTAGTAAGTATCTGAATTAGGATTCGTCACTGTGTGAAGAAAATGGGCAGTACTTACATATGAGTGCTGTGTCTACTTTCTGTATTGCAATATATTGTATTTAGGATACTCTCTTCCAAAGGCACCTGTCTGTTGGGACAGCCCTGTAGCCTGCTGCCTCTCTCCAACAGGAGTGTTTGTTGTTTTTGTCCACTTGCAGCTGGGTTCTAGATGGTAATATAGAGAAGAATCTAACATCTGTCTTTTGGTGGATTCAACAATTTTCTTTTGAAAAATGTGTATTTTTTTGCTTATGAGAGAGAGAGAGAGAGATCTTTCAGACTAAACCAGGCCGCAGCCAAGAACCTGGAACTCCATCCAAGTCTCCCTCATGGATGCCAGGGCCCCAAGCACTTGTGTCATCATCTGCTACCTGTCCGGATGCATTAGCAGGAAGCTGGATCAGAAGCAGCGGATTCAGGACTGGAGCAGGCACTCTGCTGGTGTATCAAATGGTAGCTTAACCTTCTGCACCACCATGCCTGTCCCAGAGAACTTTCTGATTAAGATTTTTGCTGAAAATGAGGAAAAACCTCGATGCCAGAGCACTGCCTTTGTTATACAATTGCACAGCTCCAGGATGTCATCATCTAACACAAAACCTAGTATTCTGCCTTTGCTGCCATGAACAAATGCTATTTTTCTCTATTCCAACTTAAAAAAATTAATTTCCATCTCTTAGGAGTTTTTATCATTTTTAAAGAACTGAGATAATTGTGGGGGTAAAAGACAGAAAATCGAAATGTTCTACAATTTCCCTCATGATGCTTTTCTTTCTAACCTTGGTATAAGTCCAGATTTTTATAGTTTTTTTTTTTAAACCTTAATGTGCTATTTTTGATGCCAAGGGAAGCATGATATTCCAATCAAGATTTCTTACTCTGAAGTGTCCCAGGTAGGATCTGGCTTATGAATCATGTGTCTAAAAAGGAAACTCATGGAGGTATGTGAGCATGCCAGGGGGCTCATTTGTTGCTGGCAAAGACACTGCTGCTCCTGGTTCCTTAATTATTAAACAGATGGTGCCCACTGCCACTGACTAGCTGCCCACCTTGTGCTCCCGTGTGGTAGCACAGTTCTGGATACGTGCCAGAGGGAAGCTTTGCCATCCGAACCTCTCATACCCACTTATGTGACAATATTAATACTAATATCTGCCTCTGATGGCTGCAGGCTGTTTTCCATGAAGCTAAGTCTAAAACTTAAGCCACCTTCTCCCAGTGAATTAATTTTATCTCAAGTATCTCCTTTTAGCATTTTTTCATAGTTTCATCCCTACACACAAAATACAGTGGCATATTGAACCAATTACCCAAATACTTCAGGCTATAAACACACTTTCACCTGGAATGTTAAGATAATTAAGATGAAATTGGGTTACTGTTAATGTTATTAGTGAAGGCAAATGACATCTAAGATAACCATATTAGAACTGAACGAAGGACTACCATGTTTTTATTTTAGTTTAATGGAGAAACCCATTCCCAAAGGAGCATTGATTAAATTTTTATTTACTTTTTAAAGATTTATTATTTATTTGACAGGCAGAGTTAAAGAGAGAGGGAGAGACAGAGAGAAAGATCTTCCATCTGCTGGTTCACTCCCCAAATGGCCACAATGGCTGGAGCTGAGCTGATCTGAAACCAGGAGCCGGGAGCTTTCTCCAGCTCTCCCATGTGGGTGCAGGGGCCCAAACATTTGGGCCATCTTCTACTGCTATACCAGGCCACAAGCAGGGAGGGAGCTGGATCAGAAGAGGAGCAGCTGGGACTAGAACCAGCACCCACATGGGATGCTGGCACCACAGGCGGAGGCTTAACCCACTGTGCCACAGCGTTGACCCCTGATTAAATTTTTATTACAAGTCTACTGAACAGCTATTTTATTATTTTAAATAAACTGCCCCAAATTTAAATTTTTTTCCTTTTGGAGCCAGTGTTGACACTAATTAAGATGTTCAGATCTTGCATGGAAATATGTGGATTCCATACTGGGTTCCAGCTCACTTAGCTCATGCAGTTCCTGGGAGGCAGCCTTGATAGCTCAAGTCGCTAGGCTCCAGCCAAGCACAGGGGAGACCAGGAGGGAGTTGAGGCTCTAGGCTGCTGCCATTGCAAGGCCTTTGGGGGGTGGGGGGTGAACCAGGGAATGACAACTCTCCATCCAAAAAATCCTTTAGTTTCTCAAATAACTATTACTACAGTACCTGCATCTGAAATCACTGATAACTAGGGACCAGTTTTCCTCACTGCAGATGGGCTATGCGTGTCACCGTGTGTGTGCGCGCTACTTCATTGTGTAAATCCTCCTGAGGCTCTGCTCACTTAATCTCAATGCAATTTTACCGTCAGCAGTCAACAGCTGTTGGTCAATACTCATGTCACTGAAAAAAAAATTAGTTACAATTTATTTTTTTAAATGAAGGACCTCCTTCTTAAGGCTCTTGTGGTCTGACAGTTCTTGGAGATTCTTCCATTATTGGAACCAACAGGTCTGGCTTGCGTTCTCTGTTGAAAAACAGACTTCGCAGCTGCTCATTAGACATCTGTTTGCTACTGGCCCTAACTTGAGAACCTACAGGCATTTGTAAATCAGCGAGTGTAGACGTGGGTGTCGCCAAAGATGACAGGAAGTGTGTGGGTCCCCACCGTCTGCCCAGCAGCCACGCACGGGCCGCCCCATCCGCGGCGCTGAGCTCCTAGAAAGCGCAGCCTCAGGGGCAGCCGCACACCCCGCACCCCGGGCTTGCGGCGGGCTGCTGGGCGGCGGGGCAGCGCGTGCGGCCCCCGGTGCGGCGCCCGAGGCTGCGAGGGCTGCGCGCCCGCCCGGGGAAGGCGCCAGGGAGCTGCGAGCAGCGCCGCCTCCGGGGAGGGGCGGGAGCTGGGCCCAGACCGCGTTCCTAGGGAGTTGGCTTTAAAGCCAGCCAGCCCGCGGGACCGCCGGCCACTCGGGTTGCGTGTTTCACAGTTGCAAGTAGTGCCTTCCCCTCTGCAAAAGTGCAAATCACCACCGACCTTGCAACCTAAAAGGAGGGAAAAAACAAAAAAGCAAATCTCGGCCTCCCGTCTCCCCTCCCTGGCCCGTCCTCCTCCCTTCCTCCCCAGCGCGCTCACTCGCTCCCTCGCCCTGCCTCCCTCCCTCCTCCGGCTGCAGCCGCCCTTCTCCAGGCCCGAGTCTCTCTCCGACGGGACTTAGCAACTTCTCGATTATTTCTCAGCCCCTTTCCCATTTTTCCCCCCCGCTTTCCTTCCGCCTTTTGCTAGGAGCTGGACGGACGGCCGTGGCGGAGGCCTTGCGTCCCGCCCCAGGGAATGGCGATTGGGGTCTTGGGGCCGTGCCGGGGAGGAGGATCTGCCGAGGAGAGAAAGAGTGGTAGAGCAAGAGCTGCAGGGAGGACGAGCAGGGGGAAACCTCCCTCCGCCGCGGGCCCGGCGCGCTGCAGCGCCGCGCCGCGCCGAGCTGCGCCCGCGATGGCTCTGGGCTCGCCCCGCGCTCTCCGGCTCCTCCGGCGCCAGCGGGCCCCGCGCGCGGGACGCCCCGGGCAGCTCTTAAAATTCTGAAGTGGGAAGAGACCCCGGGAGGAGACCAGCCGGGAGTGGGGGTGGGAGTGGGAGAGTGGGGGGGTGGGGTGGAGCAGGGCATTTTCACAGGCGATTCCAAGAGAGAAAAGGCGAAGCCGGTGTGGGCTCGCTTTCCACTTTGGCAAGTCGCTTTGGAGCATCAAGCATTCTCCGGGAGTTATCCGAGAGCTGGAACTTGGCAGCGGACCGCGGGCCTTGGGGAGAAGACGGAGGCAGTGCCGCGGTGGGATTGGGAAGCTCGGGTGTGCGCGCGGGGCTGTCGGGGCCCCGCGATCCGGCGAGGAGCGCGCACTATGGACAAGCCCGGCCCGGGCGGGGCGAGCCAGGCCCCCGCGGCTGCCGGGGACGGCTCCCGTCGTCGCCCGAGCTCCGGCTGCAGCGGCTGCTGGGGCGCCCTGGTGCTGCGGCCGCTCCGGCGCTCGCGGAAACTTTCCTCGGCGCTGTGCGCGGGCTCCCTGTCCCTTGTGCTGGCGCTGCTGGTGAGGCTGGTCCGCGGGGAGGTCGGCTGTGACCTGGAGCTGAGGAAGAAGGAGGCGGCGGAGGAGGAGGAGGAGGAAGCTGCCCCGGGAGCAGAAGGGGGCGTCTTCCCCAGCCCTCGGGGAGGCGCTCCCGGGGGCGGCGCGCCGCTCAGCCCCTGGCTGCAGCCCTCGGCGCTGCTGCTCAGTCTCCTGTGTGCCTTCTTCTGGATGGGCTTGTACCTCCTGCGCGCCGGGGTGCGCCTGCCTCTGGCCGTCGCGCTGCTGGCCGCCTGCTGCGGGGGGGAAGCGCTCGTGCAGCTCGGGCTGGGCGTCGGGGAGGATCGTTTACTCTCGCTGCCCGCCGCGGGGGTGGTGCTCAGCTGCCTGGCCGCCGCGACATGGCTGGTGCTGAGGCTGAAGCTGGGCGTCCCCATGATCGCCTTGACTAGCGCGGTCAGGACCGTGTCCCTCACTTCCTTGGAGAGGTTCAAGGTCGCCTGGAGACCTTACCTGGCGTACTTGGCCGGCGTGCTGGGGATCCTCCTGGCCAGGTACGTGGAGCAGATCTTGCCGCAGTCGGCGGCTCCGAGGGAGCATCTGTGGTCCCGGCTGCTTGCGGGGACCAAGGAGGACAGCCCGGGGTTTAAGCGGAGGCGGCGGTCCAGCTCCGTGGTGGCGGCCGAGATGTCGGGCGGCGGCAGCAAGTCCCACCGGAGGACCTCCCTGCCCTGTATACCGCGGGAACAGGTAAGCCCCGGGCTTGCTCGCTCGCTCGCTCGCTCGCTCGCTCGCTCCGGGGGAAAACTCGATCCAGCTGGGAACTAGAGGGAAGGTAGCCTGGAAAAGCGACTTTAACTTTGGACCTCATAGGCAGCTTTTTCATTGTATTTTGTAACGTGAGCGAGTAACAAAACTAGATGGTGCGTGCTGGGTTTCCACAGCTGGGCCCGCTTGTTATATTGGTTGCACCTGGTGCACGCGTCCCCACACCACACGTCTTCAAGTGCTGTCTTTGCTCCCTGAGCAGAACTTTTAGAATTAAACTTAGGTTTTTTTTTTCTTTTTTTAAGCAGAGGGTGATCATTGACCACGTGGATTTTACATTTCTTTTTAGAAAGCTTCTTCCTTATAAGAAATTTTAAATGTCCTGTGAAGTGACAAACACCTGTGAAAACCAGGAAAAAGCTTCCAGAGCAAAAGCGAGACATGCTTGAAGGTGCTCTTGATGGGTAGTCTGGCTTTGCACTTAGTTTTACTTGGAGAGACTTGCATGTGGTGCTGCCAGATCTGTTTTTAAGTATAATTTAGGGGCGTGCGTTGTTTGCCTGCTACTGTGCTTTATATCATCACCATAAACTTCAAATTTGGGGAATCAGATGTTTGAACTTCAGAACTGTGGAGAAAGTGCAAACTGCTGTGTCAACTAAAAATCACATCCCTTGAGCTCGTACACTCTGCGGTGCGTGCTGAGAGATTCAGATGGACGGAGGCTGGTTTTACAGGAAAGATTAACTCAGGAGAGTGTTCCTTAGATGGCTGGTGATACAGATAGCTCTCAGAGAGGAGGAGGAGTCTGGAGTTAACAGTGAAGCTCCAACAGTTCAAACCATCTGGGGGATGACTATTGTCACTGCGCATTTTAAGACCATGGAAGAGTTGCTTTAAAGGGGATAAAAAGGGCAGATTCTCACTTAAATACAGAGTGTATTTGAAAAGGCACCCTTAACTGGTAGACTCTCCTTGAAGCCAATTTGACACCTGATGGTGGATCCAACAAGTGTGCACAGCCAGTGGAAATTTACACTTGGCCCATTTAAATTTATGTCCACCTGTGGCACACATTGACACTGTGAAGGAGTGAGAGAATATCCTAAGAGACGGTAAGCATTTTCTTCTCCGTTTATTTGGTGGGTAATTGTTTCACTATTTCTAAGAAATAGTATCATCATGTGGTGTGGGTGGCCAGCTTGTTTCTGGGATGGAATTGATTACAGGGATCTGTGATTGTTTGACAGTATTTAGCAGCATGGATGACAGCATCAGTCTGTGTTTATTTTAAAACAAACGCACTTATTGAGCTTTTTGTTTAGATAAAACAGATATTTCTTAGGTTTAAGCTTACTCCAAGACTGAGGGTGCAAACAAGTCAAGGAAACTTGCCTTTGGAAGGAATTTGAGCATCTTTGGAATAAATCAAGGTGTGGGGGTAGTAAACTAATTAGAAAGAAAGCACCTTTGATTTTTTTTTTTTGAGTAGTTACAGGAGAGCATATCTTTTAAATAAAAAAGCCACTAGTTTAAATATGTTTAGAACATAGTATTTTTTAATTCAGAGAAGTGTGATGTGGTATTGCCAAAACTGAATCATAATCTCTGAGGAAAATCTGTATTTTATCGCAAATAACTCAACTCCAAATTAATATCACTTAATCTGTAAATTTCTGAAATTTCCTAGTGTTTAGAAAGAGGTAAGAGTGGGTTTGAGAAAAGGAGGTGTTTGGGTGAATTAACCACCTTAACCCGCTGATTTGATTGTTTTTATTGGTTTTCTCTGGTTTAAATTGATAAATGAAAAATCTGAATCATCTGCAAACCTAAAAGAACAACTGAACATTGCTTTTTAAAATGTCTTGCTGATTAATGCTGTTGTAAAATGCATGTTTGTAATCTAGTTTGGTAATTTTTTGGTTACTTTTTTTTAAAAAAAGACTGTTCATAAAGAATGTTCTAAAGAGACTTTATCTCTTAGGATGGATAGAAAAACAAGATTACATTGTAGAAATTTGGATCCTGGAAGTTTTAATTCGTGTGTGTCTGTGTGTGAATGTACCACTGAAAACTTGTTTTAGGTGTGACAGTATCAGAGTCGCTGTTAAGGATCCTTGTGGGGAGTGGGTGGGAACTAACTTGGGCAGTATCTTATAAGATAGGCTGAGGAATGAGATATTGCCCTGACTCTGTTCAGGCGCTATATAGTAAATGTCTTATCTGTTTTATCATAAGGAAACAAACTCCTGATTAAGGGTGCAAAGTGTACCACTGTCATTTGCATACTTGACAAAGCCAAGAATCAAAACAACTATAAAACAAATGTGCAACAACTCCCCCTTCTGCGAGCTGATGAGTTCATTTCTGAAACCCCTTCTGCTCTGAAGGCAATGCAGAGAGGAAACAAGTGCAGTTAAGTAGCTTAGGGGCCTCTTGAAAAGCTTTATTGGGCCTTGCTCACTGTGAGGTTTGAATGTGTAAGAATTAAAGCATTTCCTCCTTTGCCTAAATGACAGTGGCCTCTTGCCTGTGACGTCTGTCTCCAGTGGCGCTCAATTCTAAAAGGGCAGAGAATATATGACAAAATCCTCAGAGGTTAAACCAGTGGACAGGTATGTTTTTCTCCTCCTTCCCTGTCCCCCTTCTATACTTCCTTTAGCGTCAGTAACACCATGGATTGGATATTACACGCGAGACTGAGTTTTACAGTGCAGTGATAAGGATGATTTCCAGCAAAGAAAGGAGAACTAGGTCTAGTCTTTGATCAGGGAATTAATCAGGTCCTGGGTGTGTCTGGGAATTCGAGGGAAAGTATCTTTACTCTCAGCAGAGAACAGAGCGCATAGCATCTTCCTGACGTTGAGGTCAGGCCTGCCAGCCCAGTGCCTTCAGCATCCAGGTAGACTTTGTGGACATGCGTGGCACATTCATCTTTTTTGTTGGTCAAGTGAAGATGACAATGACCACTTGTCTGTGGAGGTGTCTGCATCTTTTCTAAGTGACTTTGATATCCAAGGACAGGGACAGCTCTCTTAAGTTATCACTGCATTCCCCCCAACACAGGAATATATACAGGTTCCTAGAATTCCTGAATTATTAGACATTGTGCATGCTTAATAAGCACATTGTTTTTCAACATGAAATTTAAATTATGCAGTTGTTGATATTTGGAGACTTGTATTTGAAGGATGTCTCGCTCTTGATGCATCGAAGAATAGAGCTGTTTACTCATTCTTCTCTGATTACCTGATCACCTTGCACGTTCACTCTTTAGATTCCAAATGAGTGCAGTTTTATTTTAGTTACATGTTAAGAATTTAATATTTTTAGTTACAACTTGTATAAGCACAAGGCGTATGATTCTCTGCATTAATGTGCTCGTGCCATTTAAAGGTGGAATTTTTGTGATCAATACATCAATCAGAGATGTGCAGATAACTGTATTATGTAATTATGAACTGGGATTATATCTGATGAATATTTCCCTAAACTATGAAACATCTTTAGCAAAAGAAATAAATGGATTGTTGGAAAGTTGGTTATCACAAAGAGTAAAGTTGTTTTTTTGTGATCACTGATATGATAAAAGACATTTTCAAGTAAAAACCCAGCAACAGCAAAAAAAAAAAAAAAAAGACAAATAGGAGAAATAGATAAGGTTTTTGGTGGAAGACATTGGATGGTAGGCATATGATGGAATGGTCAGATCTTTGGTAAAAGTAAAGCTTACTTTTATAGTACAGATGAAAAATAAAGAACTATTTCTTTGGGATATATAGAGTATATTAACATTTAGAACTGTAAATCTGTGTGAGTATTACATAATGTAGTTCTCAAATGGAATGAATTTCAGAAACAGCCCTGGACTTATAATTGAATTGTAGCTTCTCTCACATTTCAGTAGTATTACGCAGCTTATGGCAATACAAAGAACAATATTGATTATTTATGACTTGGTGACAGAATTAAATTTAATTAATGTCAACTTCTGAAAATTCTGAAAAGGAAAAACAAGATTTTCTTATCCCCAGGGAAAGGTGAAGGAAAAGAATGTTTTGTTTTTCTGTGTGGACAAAATTGTGATTTTTACTTTGTGAATACAGATATTTAAAGCGTACTGAAAAACTGTTTTAACCGACAGAAATAGTCAGTGAATCTATATAAATTTACAGAGGTTGGAAAGAGTGAAAACAGTAATTTTACTCTTTCTGTATTGAGTCTGAAGTGTAAAAAGTTAAAACTGTAGAACTGAAAGCAATGCTGTGTGTGCTGGGCTGTCTGTTAATTAAATAAACAGCCAGAACAGTGACTCTGTGTATGAAATACATTTTGAAAAGTCTGGGGGGAGGGTGTGCAGGCAGGCAAGGGTGAGTGACACTGGCATGGAAAAACATTCATTATATCTGTAGTGACATTTGTGTGAATTTGTTATATTAGGAAATTCAGCGCTGAGAGTAACTTCTTCAGGACTCAGTTGTATAAAGGCTTTGCCAAACTTAAATCAACTTCTGCTTTAAATAAGTTCTAACTTAGGTTGGTCAACCCTAGAGATAGAAGTGTGCCAATGCATTGTATTTTAGGATTTGCAGTTGATATGGGTTGTATTGTTAACAGCCCTGTTGTCTGTACTAACTTCAGTCCATCAGAAGAATGAGTTTATTTTGGGATTCGGATGGGGTTGTAGTTTTCAGAAAATGTAAGCATGGTGAGATGAACTCTCCTGGTTGTGTGAAGATAATCAATTTACCTATTGGGTCTTGTGGTGTCCAAAGAGATTCTGACTCTCACAGGCAGTTTCTTTGTGTTGGTCCATGGGAAAATCTCTTTAGCTTTAGGAACTGATGCATAACCTTACATGAATTGTTCAGTCACTTGCTGTGTATCCCCTATTCCATGGAATCTTCCTCCTTCCTTTTCTCTTTGTGATATTTATTATGAGCTCTTCTAATAAAACACTTTCATATATACAGTAAATTCAA